ACACCTCCACCCCCATATGCGCCTTTACATCCTCCCCTTGTCTTTCCGCCATTCCCAAAGGGGAGGGGGTGGATATTATCATGTTCTTATGCACAGTGGAATTGTAAATGGGCTGATTTATCAATGCCATGCCCATACTGTGCCGGAACAACATAGGGGGAACTGCTGCTTTTTCTATCCCCATCCTTACTACCGTCATTTTCCCTCTACTTCTTTTGTATGTTTATCACTCTCTTGTGACCAGCAATTTCCGTGGTGCTTTGATAGTCGAAGCAGCAGACTTTGTGCTGTTGAGGCTACAGAGGCGAGCAGAGTAACCCTGATTCCACGTCTGGACTTCTCTGTTGACATCCACCCCTTGGTGCTCATATGACCTTATGCAGTTATGAGCGCCGTAAAACCGTATTAAAACTATCAAAACATCATCCTCCCCCCCCCTCTCCCCCTACGAACCTCACCGGACCTCCACCCTTACATCTCTCCATATCTCACTCCCTCCACAGATACGACACAGAAACGACACAGATACAAGTACAACACAGATTCGACAAAGATACGACACAGATACGGAGACACAGATACAACTCAGATACGACCCAGATACGACACAGACACAACACAGGTAAGACACAGACACGACACAGGTTTTTTAGTTCTAGTAAGAGTTTTACGGCACTTGCAACACTAACGTCATATAAGTGCCGAAGAATAGAATATGTGTTACAAGAGAGTAACATACACAAAAAAGAAGGAGGGGAGAGAAGGACGACAGATGTTTGACAGGAAAGAAGGAGCAAACCACACCAGAGCACCCGCCAACCACCCACTCGACACAGGTAAGACACAGACACGACACAGACACGACACAGATACGACTCAGATACGACTCAGACACGACCCAGATACGACCCAGATACGACACAGGTAAGACACAGACACGACACAGACACGACACAGGTAAGACACAGACACGACACAGACACGACACAGACACGACACAGGTAAGACACAGACACGACACAGACACGACACAGACACGACACAAGTAAGACACATATAAGACACAGATACGACACGGATACGACACGGATACGACACGGATACGACACAGATACGACACAGACACGACACAGACACGACACAAGTAAGACACAGATAAGACACCGATAAGACACGGATACGACACAGATACGACACAGCCCTTGTCACCCTCCACCACCGCCCCTCCCTCCCTCTAGCGGACTTGTCACGTGGTCCTTTTCACACTGACCACACTCTGACGACATGCGGGGACGGGGACATCTATACGTAGGACACTCGATAGGACATTCGCTACGACATTCGCTAGGAATTTGCCAGGACACCCGCTAGGACACTCGCTAGGGCACTCGCTAGGACAGCCACTAAGATATTCGCTAGGACATTCGAAGGACATTCGCTAGAACATTCGCTAGGACAGCCACGAGGACACTCACTCACATACACAGGGCACGGAGGACTCACGCCGAGTCCCTGCTCACCCCTCGACCGTCCCGGCTCACACTCACTCGCACGCACGCACAGACACTCACATACACACACACACACACTCACTATCACACACACTCACACACTCTTACACACAGACACAAACAAGCGCGCGCGCGCTCACACATAGACACACACACACTCACACATAGACACACACACACTCACACACACACACGTGTGCTG